TGTGATCAAATTTCAAAGAATGATCCATATCATAGTTTTAGTTCAGATATCCACAAAATAATTTGCATTATATTTTGATGTTCCACTACAGTATCCAAACATCTCCCTGGTTAAAATTTTGTACGTGGATTGATTGAATTATACCACGTCGGTATTCTACCAGTTTTATATATTTATCGTGTGTGCAGTGGCGGAGGCAGGAATTCTATCGAGGGGGTTCAAATAAAACATAGGCGAAATCCTGAACCCCATAAACCATTGAGCTACTCCTTTGACATATGCTCAGGGGGTTCAATTTTAAATATATACACGTACACAAAAAATTAATCTTATATATATAGTGTAATTTTTTTTCGAGGGGGGTCGGATGACCCCCCTGGACACACTCTACATCCGCCACTGCGTGTGTGGATGTCTTAGTTCCGGTAGGTGGTGTGTTTTAGGTGATCATTCATGAAATTTTTGGTACAAAATTATTATATTAAATATTTATGTCATTATAAATTATCTCATTAAATATATATGAGAATTTAAAAGTTAAATTATATTTAAATATAAAATAATTTGTTTTTAGACAAATTAAAAAAGAAAAATAAGAGACAAAGGGTGTGTTTAGCTTAATTTTTGGCTTATCACTTGTAAGTTAAAAAATATAAACTAGAATCTATTTCAATTGATTTATTTTATGTGATATTAAGTGGTCCATGGAGCCATAATTACAATATTCCGAAAGAGACATTCCAATGTTTTTGTACGAGCTACTCTGAATAACTGTGTCCAAATTAGGCTGTAAATATTTATATATGAATTTTCTTAGCTAAAAAAATTAAATTCATATTTAATATGTGGTCCAAATTCATAAAATATCTTAGCTACAGAAATTAAAATAACAAAGCTAATTTCTCAACTTCTTTACTACAATAAAAGTTGAGAAAATAAAACTGGGAACTTTATATAGATTTGCAATGAAATATTTAATTTTTCATTTTTAGGTTGAGTTAAGAATTTACAAGAAAAAACAAGGAAAATAATAAAAACTGAATATACAGTTGTCTGTCGCGACTTTCACACAACTATAGTCTATGAGTCTATGACCTATTGGAAATTTTAGTCACGCAATAAAAGTTAGTGTAACAATAGTAATTAATTTTTAATCATAATAAATTATTTGAAAACAAAATCTTTTAGCTATACTATATATATATATATATATATATATGTTGAGAATCAAGAACATCATGATTATGGCCATGGTGATTTTACAGAAAAAGAAAAGAAGGAGATGAAAGGAAACAATGTTCAAAGTTCTCCTAGTTTCGGACAAAATCAACATAGGCATACAAAAGGTCCAAAGGACGCGTGGCAACATCAGGGGCAAAGATCTCTTATTGAATCAAATTAATCAGAGCCATCCAGCTGTATGGTACAACTGTACAATTCTAGATATTTCTCAACCATAGCACACGTATGGCACATGACAACCATTTGGAGTTTGTTAGAAGAAGACCAATGATGAAATGACAAGTGTAAATACATATTGCATTAATTTCATAGTTCACACAATTTAGGATAGAATAGAATTTGTATATATACTAGAAGGATGTACAGTGATTTTTTCATGAAGAAATACACAAAAAATTTCTCCACATCGCTTATGTTTTCTAACATGGTATAGAGCATTAAGATCCACAATTTTTTGCTCTTATACAAATTTCTGTGTTCATCCCCCCTTTTTAAATAATGGATACAGAATGGGTCATTCCTACTGCTATAGCTCCTATTTGCTGTAGGTCAAACAGCAATAGGGAGTATTTTTTATTTTAGTAATCCTCTTTTCTTCATGCTTCAGATGTACCAGGTATGAATCTTGTTAATAGCACCTTCGATGTGAGGGGTTACCAGGGATGGAGGAGATCTGCCCTAATTGCTTTGTCAGCTAAGAACAAACTGAGTTTTATTGAAGGTAGTTGTGTAGAGCCTTTGAACACAACACCCACTTTTTCTTCTTGGTATAGATGCAATGCCATGGTAACTTCTTGGCTACTTAACTCGTTATCCATGGATATAGCTCACTCTGTCATCTACTCCAGGACTGCCAAGGACCTCTGGACAGATGTAGAACAGAGATTTGGCTAGTCGAATGGTGCTAAATTATACCACATGCAAAAAGAAATGACTGGGTTAGTGCAAGGATCCAATGATATAGCAGGGTATTTCACTAAATTAAAAAGGCTGTGGGATGAGTTGGATTCTCTCAACTCTCATGTTGGTTGTACATGTCCTTGTGTGTGTACAGGGAAGCAAAAGATGACTAAATTTGTTGAAGATTAGCGGCTAATTCAATTTCTTATGGGGTTGAATGATCTTTATGCTCAAGCAAGGGGTAATATTCTCATGTTGAATCCTTTGCCAGGAATCAACCATGCTTACTCTCTCTTGCTTCAGGATGACAATCAGAGAGAAGTTTATATTAATCCACAATTTTCCCCTAACAACTCTTCATTTATGGCTAAGAATTTCAACTCCCAAATGAAACTTGGAAACCAAATGCAGAAGCCTGGTCACCCAGGTCAGTCTTCACAAAGGTCTGGAGGATGATTTCAACATTCTGGTGGGCAATCTCAGGGACAAAGGCCTTCAGCAAATCCTCAAAGGAATTTTACACCTTAGAATCCAAGAAAAGTAAGAAGGAAGAAATACAATCCTAATGTGAGTTGTACTCATTGTCTAAAGACTGGGCATGTAGAAGATGACTGTTATAGATTGATGGGGTACCAAGAAGATTTTCAGTTCACTAAAGGATTTCAAACACCTATCAATGGGAATAGAGAACTTATTAAGGATAGTTATGGGCATTCACCTATTGGATATGAAGATTCTGATGAGCATTTCCTGCAATCCCTGAGTAAGAGTCAAATTTCACATATGAAACAGATTTTCAAACAAGGACAGACCACTTCTAGAGCTGGTACTAGCTCAGAGATTAATGCAAATGTTGTGGCTGGTACTATTACTTAATATTCTACTTCTTGTTTCTCTGTTTTTAACTCTTAGACTTGGATCATAGACTCAGGGGCTTCTGAAGACATATGTTATGAACCTACTTCCTTTCTCAATCTTGTCCCTCATCCAGCACCTGTCACTATAAATTTACCTAATTCTTACAGGATTAAGGTCACACACACTGGCAACATAGCCATTTTTCCTACTCTTGTTCTACAAAATGTTCTTTTTGTTCCTTCTTTCAGATATAGTTTGTTGTCTGTTCATAGGTTCTGTAGTCAATTTGGTTGTTTTCTCTTATTTAATCCTGAAAAGTGTGTCATGCAGGACCGTTCAATGAAGATGAAACAAGATTTTGGTGAAGCTAAAGAGGATTTTTATCTTTTAGAATCTGTCATTTCTAGTACTAGTATTCAATCTCTATGTAATGTAGTTTCTTTACTAGAAGGAAGTGATTCCAAAAATGTCCATCTTTGTTTTTCTTTTTCTGCTAGTGTTGTTTCTGATGTAGCTCTTTGGCATGCCAGACTAGGCGATTTGCCTTATTCAGCTATAAAAAATTTCAGTTTCATTTCTTTTCCTTCTAATTATTCTTGTGTGTGTGACATATGTCCCCTTGCTAGACAAACCAGATTACCCTTTTCCATTAGTCATGTTTCTTCTAAAAGGGTGTTTGAACTGGTTCATATGGACACTTGGGGACCTTTCAAAGTTCTTACTTACCATGGATATAAGTATTTTCTTACTTTTGTTGATGATTTTAGTAGGGGTACTTGGACATACTTATTAACTACTAAGATTAATGCTTTCTCCGTTTTGAAACATTTTTTATCCATGGTTGAGAGACAATTTGACCTTAAGGTGAAAAAGCTTCGATCCGATAACGCTCTAGAATTGGGGAAAGGGGTACATGAAGCAAAATTTTTGAGGTCAAAAGGGATCATTCATCAAACATCTTGTGTTGCTACACTTCAACAAAATGGGGTTGTTGAGAGGAAACATAGACATTTATTAGAAATTGCAAAGTCTTTACTTTTTCAATTCAAACTTCCTAAATGCTACTGGGGGGGGGGGATTGTTTATTGACTGCTACTTTTCTTATTAATCAAATTCCTTCCAGAGTACTTCATGGGAAAACCCCTTATGAGATTCTTTTTCAGAAATGTCCTGATTATAAGTTTTTGCAAGCTTTTGGTTGTCTATGTTATGCCTCTACTTTGCGCAGTAATCGAAACAAGTTTGATCCCAGGGCTATTGCTTGTGTATTTTTGGGCTACCCACAGGGCCAAAAAGGATACTAACTTCCTGACATATCATTTAAAATGATCTTTATATCTAGAGATGTTCAATTTTGTGAGCACATTTGCCCTTTCTCAAATCTTCAATCAGATTCTGAGCCAATTTTTCCTATTTCTTCCTTCACTCCTGACTCCTCTATTGACTCTGCAACCCTCCATATTCCTTCATCCTCCTCTAGCACATCTCCTCAATCATATGCTTCATTTTCCCCTTCTTTTCTCCTTGTATCTCCACCCCCTTCCACACCTATTATCCGAAAATCTAACAGGGAAAGTAAGAGGCTTGCATATCTAAATGATTTTGTCTATAATCATGTGTTTCTCACTAACATTTCAGACACTTGTTTAGCACAACCTGTGCACTCATCTACTTTTTCTTTTGGAGCTTTATCCTTACAGAATCAATATCTCCTTGGTTCTATTAGTGCTTACTCAGAACCTACTAGTTTCAAACAAGCTAGTTTGGATCCTAATTGGCAGTTTGCAATGCAAAAAGAGATTATAGCTTTGGAAGAAAACAATACATGAAAGGTCATGTTGTTACCTACTGGCAAGAAGGCTTTACCTTGCAAATGGGTATACAAAATTAAATAACATTCTGATGGATTAATTGAAAGATATAAGGCACGACATGTGAAAAGAGATGACATACAAAGGAAAGGCATAGACTACACTGAGACTTTTTCCCCAGTTGTCAAAATGACAACCATTAGGTGTCTCATTGCCATTGCAGTCAAGAAAGGTTGGTCTATTTCACAATTTGATGTTAATAATGCTTTTCTTCATGGCGACCTTCAAGAGGAAGTCTACATGAAGTTTCCTTCAGGAATGGCATCACCCAGTCCCAATCATGTTTGCCAGCTTCAAAAGTCACTATATGGGCTCAAACAAGCTTCAAGGCAATGGCATGTCAAGCTTGCAGGAGCCCTGACTTTTAAAGGATATACAATATCTCTTAATGACTATTCTTTGTTTTTCAACAAAACAGGGGATCTGATTTCAATTATTGTTGTCTACGTTAATGATATTTTGATTACCGGGGATGATCCTATTGAAACTGCCACTATGAAGGATTTTCTCAACTCTAAATTCCAAATCAAGGACTTAGGGGAGCTTCATTATTTTCTTGGCATGGAAATTTTAAGAGGAGAACATGGTTGTATTATTGGTTAGCGAAAATTCACACTAGATTTGTTACAAGAATTTGATTGCACATCTCTACCTACAGTCTCCTCTCCACTTGACCCTTGTTCTAAGCTCACTAGTTCATCATGTCCTTTACTTGCAGATCCTTCCATTTACAGGAGATTAGTGGATAAATTGAACTATCTCACACATACACGGCCAGACCTTTCATTCTTAGTCATCACTCTTAGTCAATTTATGCAACAGCCGTGTCAGGGCCATTTTGATACTGCACTTCGAGTGTTGAGATATCTACGACTCAATCCAGACCAAGGTCAGTTCTTCAATCCTACATCATCATTTTTCCTGATTGCTTTATGTGATGCTGACTGGGCATCTTGTCGAGATAGTCGGAGATCTATTAGTGGTTTCTTTATTAGCCTTGGTGGCTCACCAGTTTCTTGGAAGTCCAAGAAACAAGCCTTTATTTCACTATCTTCCGCTGAATTAGAATACAGGTCTATGAGGAGAGTTATTGCGGTACTTACCTGGTTAACCTGACTTCTTGTAGATCTATCCATTTATCCATCATTGCATGTGCCTCTTCACTCTGACAGCCAAGCTGCTATTTATATTGCAAAAAATTCGATGTTTCACGAACGAACCAAGCATGTTGAGGTTGATTGCCACTTCGTGAGACAACAATTCCTTTCCGGGTTGATCTCTCTATCTTTTGTTCCATCCTCTGCTCAGTTGGCTAATCTGTTCACAAAGGCTCTCTCTGGTCCTTCACACTTCTCGATTCTTTCCAAGTTGGGTGTCGTTTCTTTCCCTTCACCTTGAAGGGGTGTCGATAATCAAGAACATCATGATTATGGCCATGGTGAGTTTACAGAAAAAGTAAAAATAAGGAGATGATGAAAGGAAACAATGTTCAAAGTTCTCCTAGTTTCGGACAAAAACAACATAGGCATACAAAAAGGTCTAAAGGACGCGTGGCAACATCAGGGGCAAAGATCTCTTATTGAATCAAATTAATCAGAGCCATCCAGCTGTATGGTACAAATGTATAATTCTAGATATTTCTCAACCATAGCACATGTATGGCACATGACAGCCGTTTGGAGTTTGTTAGAAGAAGACCAATAATGAAATGACAAGTGTAAATACATATTGCATTAATTTCATAGTTCACACAATTTAGGATAGAATAGAATTTGTATATATACTAGAAGGCTGCACAGTGATTTTTTTCATGAAGAAATACACAGAAAATTTCTCCACATTGCTTATGTTTTCTAACAATATATATATATATTTTAATTCATTGTTAAAATAGAAAGTCTTTATACTACTTATAATTAGATCTAGTTAATAAATCATGTCACTAACCTAACCTAAAAGGTAGGCATTTTTTGTTTCTCAAAAATGTTGTTACATACATGTGGTGGTCTATAAATTGGAGATAGAGTAAGCAAAATATACACACAACACACTCAAATTAAAGATGAAGTTGATTAATATTTTGAGTTTCCTCTTACTCTCTTTGTTTCCCTTTGTTGCCTTTTGTCGATCTTTCACTTCCAACAATCCCATTGTCCTCCCCACAACTACTCATAATAATAATAATATTAATGATGATGATGATGATGATGTAGCTCCTCAAGTGTTGGACATGGACCGCCTACCACACTACGTACATTGGTGAAAAGTACATTATTCATAATCCTCTCATTGGAGGCGGATCCGTATACTTGGCCAATATTGGACACCTTGAATGCCCTAACACCATGTTGCAGCACGTACCGATTCCCGGTTTGATAGGAAAAGGCACCCCCGTGAAATTCGTTCTTATGGTTGATAATGATGATGATGTGGTGCGTGAAACGGATGACATTGATATCATGTTCTCAACACTTGATATATCTATCTAGTCCGTGTTTTAACGAAACTAGCTATTTGGAAAGTTAGTGATGATAAAGATCAGTTCGTGGTGACTGGTGGTACCATAGGAAATGAAAGCAATTACTTGTTCAAGATTATGAAACATGAGGTACAAGAATTGGAAAATGTATACAAGTTAATGTATTGTCCGGATCCCCCTCAACTTATAATGTGTAAACATGTCAGCTTGACTTTTCATAATGGATTACATCGTCTGGTGGCTGACGGTAAAAACCCTCTTCCCGTTGTCTTCCTTAAGGAATAAATTAATGTGGATCGTTCAATCGCGTTTCCACGCTCCATGTAATTTTAATTAATGTATGCTTATGAGTTATGAATAAAACAAGCTACTATCTTCGAATACGTCCTTTAATTATCATATGCAATACATTTAATTTGTGTTTGTGTCACGCGGCAGGACTGGCACTAGATAACCATTGCTGACCCCAAGCGAATCCTTGGCCTGACTTACTTACTCAGTTTAACTTAACAGAGATAAACCCATATAACTTAAGAATGTTAATAAGAAAGCATTCAACTAGCCAATAAGGCAAACTCAAGTTTTTAAACAATATCTGAAATGAATAAGACTAAAGAACTATAACTATCCGTCTATGAAGCCTCTAAACAATGATTTTGAAATATGAGACGTCGGAGGAACAAGAATTGGAAAATGCATACAAGTTAATGTATTGTACGGATTCCCCTCAACTTAATTGTGTGAGCTTGACTTTTGATTACGGATTATATCCTCTCGTGGCTTCCGGTGAAAACCCTAGCTCTTCCCATTGTCTTCGTTAAGGAATAAATTAAAGTGGATGCGTCTCCAGGCTCTAGGTAATTTTAATTAATGCATGCTTATGAGTTATGAATAAAACAAGCTAGCTAGCTAGCTATGTTCGAATATGCATCTCCTTTAATTATCATGCATATCCTATATATACATTTAATTTGTGTTTCTATGTGTGAATTGTGATCCATACATATTTTCATGCTTAACCATATAATAAAGGGTGGGTGTCAGATATGGGGACGGATTGAATTATAATGATATGATAAATGAATAAGTTTATGATTCAATCTAAATATTACTTGGACGGAAGGAAATGAATTGGGTTTAAGATAGCTAAATTATGGGCCATGAAACGAGCTGTCCATCCAACTCTTACTAAGTCTAAATGTTTTTTTTTCTCACTCGATGTTCGAAATTCACCTCCGACTAAATTTGGATTGCGCTCTGCAGGGCCTATTCGAATGTGACGCTCTCAACAAAATTTTCTCTATACTCAAAGCTCGAATCCAAGACCTATGATTAAGGGTGAAACACTCCTACCAGTGCACCACAACCCTGGTAAGTCTAAATGTTACTTGGGCGGAAGACCGAAGACTGTCATAGCTATGAATGTTGTGTATGCCATTAATTATGAGTCAGAGAAGCACCCTAGCCAAAGACCCTATTTTTTAAAAATATAAATGCTTTTTAAATTTGTGTAAAACAAGTTTGAAACATATTATTATTCTCCCTGTCCAATAATAGTTGTCCACTACTGACATTGTACACTTCTTAAGAAACTATAAATAGTAGGATGATTTTACTATATCACCCTTTGAATATAATAAATATAGTGTCTTAAAAAATGTAATAGAGAAAATTACTATAATTAAAGATAAGGGTAAATTAGTAACTAAGTGTAAAATTATCCATTGATTTCATAGAGTGAACAAGTATTGTTTGACATTCCAAAATAGTATAATGGATAACTATTGTTGGACGGACACTACATGAAAAATGATCTTTAGTGGCAACTAACGGCAATAGCTCAATTGCCGCTAAATATGTATTTTTAGCGACAATTAGCACTCTTTGTATATGTCCCTAAAGTCTTTAGCGACATTGGATCTAATGACACTTAACTAATGCCGGTAAATACTTTAGCACTCTTTATTAATGTGATCTATTCATTTCCACTAAAAGTTGTTTTTATAGTAGTTATGTTAACATTTTCTTGATTTCTTCTATTTTTATAGGGTTAAGAGAATAAAATAACTATCATTTTTCTATAAATAAAAAAACTAGCACATCATTTATTCTTAGTAAAAAATTAATCCCTCCAAAATTAAGAGAAGGGGTGTACAAGACCGGGTTGGTTCGGGTTTTTCAAATATCAAACCAAACCATTTTTGTAAAATTTTTAAATTTTTAAACCAAACCAAACTAATAAAATTCAGATTTTTTTGGGTTTTTTAACCTCGGGTTCGTTCGGGTTTTCCAAATATCAAACCAAATCATTGTGTCAAATTTTTAAATTTATAAATCAAACCAAACTAATAAACCTTGAATTTTTTTCAGATTTTTGGATTTTTTTCGGTAAAGTTTGCATACAAACATATAATTAACTTGTGCTCCAAATATTTCTTTATTTAGTACAACCAAAATACAATTATCTAAGGTATTTCTTAAGAAAATAACACAAATATGAGATGCGAATATTCAATAAAAATAATAATGAAATCATCATATAAAATAAATATTGCAAAGTCATAATGAAAATGATCATAATTTAAAAGTACTAAATCATGCTAAAATTAGTTTAATAAGTAATAGTTACATTACTGAATATTTAAGTAAAATTAAAATTAGATTATGTAATTTAATTGTCTAAACCAATGTAAAACTAAAGAACAAATATTCAATATTATTGTCATTCTAGTGTTGAATTGATTATTTTTTGCATTAGTATTAATTTGATTTTGATTTAAGTTTTATTATAATTATTAACATCTATCAACTATAATCTCTATTGGACCATTCCAAATTCTAAGTTTTAAATTTGAAATAATATATTAAAAGATAAAAACTATGAAATAGTATAAGAAATATTTTAAAATTATATCAAAATAAATATTTTTATGTATAAAATAAAATTTTAAAATTGCATATATAATGTCGGGTTGGTTTTTTTTAGTTAAAATCAAACCAACCCAAATATAATCGGGTTGTTTTTTTCCAATACCAAACCAACTCAAACCAAACCACTAGTCGGGTTTTTTTTCCGGTTTGACTCAATTTGCGGTTTGATTCAGTTTTTGGTTCGATTTTGTACACCTCTAATTAAGAACCTAAGGCATATGCCTTAATTATTTTAAAGTAAGAGTCAGCCCAGTCGTGAGTCAATCTAGATCGACTACCTATTTAGCTCGAATTAGTGCAACTCTCTTACATCACTACCAAAAAATGAGTTCTAGCTACGGTTTATTAGCCACAGTTCTAAAAACCGTGGCAAAATTAATAGGAAGTGTTAATGTTTCCTACGAATAAGAGAACGATGCTAAAATAACGTGGGCAAATTAGGCAGGTAATATAATTTCATTCCCTCACTTTTTATTTCATTTGCCCCTATTTCTTTTCAACCAAAATCAGCCAAAACTTTTTTTCATCGAGAATCACCCAAATCTACTTCACCCAAAATCCTACTTCATCCAAAATCACACAAATCTGTTTTACCCAAAAAAATTCTTCACCCAAAATTAGCTTCATCCAAAATCACACTAATTTGCTTCACTCCAAATTTTTTTGAATGGTTCGAACAATAGCAGAATATTGTAGCCTTGCTTCGAATAGTAGCGGAAATGGTAAATTCACTTTTTTCATGTAACAAATCTTTGCTATCCAGGAGTTTCAAGTCAATAGTTTGTTCAATATTCAATGGTTTCTTTGAGGTTTTTTTAGTACAAAAATTTGAAAAATCTCGAGTAAAGAAACTGTTTGGTAACCCAAATTCCCCCTTTCACCCCAACCCATGCATGAATACAAAAGAAAATTAATGTTTTGTAATCTCTAAAATTTCTATAACTTTTGATGTTTTATTGTTCAAATTTCTGCATGTTTTTTTTTTTTGAATATTTTTACTAATTTAGGTTTCTTGATTGTTAATTTTCAACTTTTGCTCTGTTATGACTTGGGTCCAGTTCTGAAGCTCTGTTATGATTCTCTAAAAATACCGTAAAGGAGATTGGTTTCTCAAGCTCCACTAAGGTAAATAAATGTTAATTGTTCAATGTTTATTGAAAATCAGCTTGCCAAGTATAGGAAGACTTTGAATATAATTAAGAGTTTTAGAGCCTCATATTTCTCGGTCTATTGAGTAGGTGACACCACTAGTATTGGTTGTATAATGTACGATTGTCTTTTGGGAAACACTTCAGAAAATTATGAAATACATTAATATATATGTGTTTTTTCGTTGACCTAACTTCTTGTTTTATGTCTAGAATGATTTAATCGTATAAAACATTAGCTTGCCTATCTATAGTATTCTTTTCTTTAAAAGTTTATTTTATCTTCAGTATAGCATTTTATCTGTTGACTTGATAGGTTGTTTTCATCCCTCCAGCTCCATCGCATCCTCACATTTAAGCACTGGACATATTTGTTTAGGTTTGTTTCCTCATTTGATATGAATTGCATCCTACGATGCAATAGTGTAAATTATCAATGTGACACTTGAATACATAAGGATAAAAAAATGTGTATATCTTATAACAATATAACAGGAATTGAGTGAGAAGCATTTTCCCTGTATTTACACAGCATGACCATTTTCCAACAATATCTTGAATTGGTACGACTATTGAATTGCATTTGTGTTAAGTGTCATGTTGTTCCCATGTTTCATCCTCGATTATAGTTCTTTGTTTTTATTTTGTTTCACGTAGTATATTGCTTCTCAATAAGCAAGTTGAGTAAATATGAAATCTAGCCCAGATATGATTATTTTGATTTGGCTCTATGGACTTATATTGCATTTTTTTTGTTTGTGTATGTCTGTGAAGTGTGAGCTCATGTTTGTGGAAATGAAGATGAAAACAAGTTCTTAGCATTTAACATCTTGTTGGATACTTTGAAGCTTAAATTTGAGCCTTTTGATCAAATCTACTTGTTAAAACAATGAGATGAATTTGGGAGTATACCACTTGATTGCTCTAGTGTTCTGCCTCATGATTATATTTTGTTTTAGCAGTCACCTTGAAAATGTATAATCTCTAAGAACATTATCTAAGTACCATTGATGTTGTCAATTCTTAGAATTGGTCACTAGAGCTTTCTGGTTATTTAAGACCATAAGATTCATAGGGTACTTTTGATATGTTATACACACCTTTAACTTTGTGGCCCGTCAAACTAAGTTACATAAAATAAAAACAGAGGGAGTAGTATATTATAGTGCCGATTCTATAGTTATTCTAAAAGTATTTTTCTCTCTTTTCTTTTATTCTTGTTTCATGACTAGATCATCCTTCTACTTGTTCCCATCATTTAGTTAAAGGTTGGTTGAAGGTATTTTAAGCAAAACTTTTCCTTGAAATGCAATGTTATTGCAATTGTGGTTCATGCCTGCAATAAATCTCCTAAAAATACATTATCAATTTTTTTTGCATATTTCTCTAATCATGCTTATCTAAAACACATATGATTACAAGGTTGCTTTCCTTATTCACTAAATATTTGGTGGATTTAACTTTTTTTCACTTTGTTTTACTTGTAATTCTCTCATCTTACTTGTTTTGAAAATATGTGTTATGTCTCTAACATATGAACTGATTGTGTGTGCTCTCCTATAATCCTAATCTGTTTTATTTGCTGGTTTGTAGTTCTTGGGAGCTTAATTTCAGCTAAAAGAATTTGTTACAGATCGTTACTCATCATATCATTCGGTGTTCAAGTATCATGTATATGATTTCTTCAAGGTACAATGCTTATCAATTGTGTTGCATATTGTTTGGCATCTCACAAAACAACTATTCTTTTGGTGCTTTTAACCTTTGATAACAATAAACATAACTAAAATTTCAGCCCTCCGGAATGATTTTACCAATATCTTCCACTCATTTGATGGGACTGATGAGAACAGAAAGTGCCCTCTCCGTCCAAATTGAGAAAAATTGATGTATGCCTATCTTATTAAAAAAAATAAAGATGTATGCCTACTCATATCTTTTTTTCTCCTTTATTCTAAATGTATATCTGATACTACCTCTTGACATTTGTCAAACTGTTGATCTTGGATTTCTCTGTGGAATTTGTTGAGTATGTACTGGGTTCTTGCTGATATTTCTTTGTTCGTTTGACATATGTTTTCATCGTATATGATAGCCTACAAATTTTATGCCTTTAATGTGCAATTATTCAATTTTGTAAATGTGTGTCTACATCCTGCTGCAGCTGATTTTTTAAATTAAGAGGCACCTCAACATTGATTGACCTATGTAATCCCATTTTCTTTGTAATCCATGTATCCACTTGGATATGACAAATGAAACATCATATTCAGTTAATAAAGAGTTTCCCTTGGAAAAAACTATCTATTTAAATTAGTTTATCTAATTGTTGGCATAAATAAGGAATCTAACATGCGTTGTATGATTGAGGTTTATCACTGTTGTGAGGTCTAACTTATTGCATCGTTACTTTCGAATCTTTTAGGAGAATTGTTGAGCTTAAGGCAAATGAAGGAAAACAGACCCTGAAAGAGATACCATATGCCTTGGCACTTCAAATATTTATGGATGCCAATGTATATTTAGTTCCTTCAATAAGCACCTTAGATTCTCGTTGAATTGATATGTGTCCAGTTAATAAAAAATACCATCTTGAGCATAGGATTTGTGTATTATGGTCAGTGTATTAGTGGATGCCTATCAAATAATGCATTGGTTGCAGGGTATTGCTGGGAAATAATTGAAATTTTTTTTTAATTAAAAAAGTGTATTTAGCCACGGTTCAACCATGGTAAATATATATTATGAACATTTTCATTGGTGATATTTCGCCACGATCAACCGTGACTATTTTCACATCAAATCGTGGCTAACAAAATGTTACCACGGTCGCCTAAACCGTGGCAAATTTGTTGGTGGCACCCGTTATAGCCACGGTGGCTAAATGACTATGGCAAAGTCGTGTTAGCCACGGTTTTACGTGTTGCTAAAACCCGTATTTTTTGTAGTGCATGGAGTAAATTGAGTGAATTAAAATAGAATTAATTAATAATTGAAACATTAACCCCCACCTCCCAAACTTCATGAATTTGCATTTTTTAATGTAAATTTTATGTCTTTAGCTGTGTAATCCTTTTAGGGGTCGTTTGGTAGGCCACATTAGAAGAAATAGTCCATGTATTATGTAAGGTATTATTTAGTACTATATTTGGTAGGATTTTGAGCCTATGTATAACTAATCCATGGATTAGTTATACCTCCTACATGGTATTATAGGATATAATACCATGGGATAAGTCTATGTAAAGAACAAAAATATCCCTCAAATCTATTTTAATTATTTTGTTTATTTTCTTGATTTTATGATTTATGTTTGTACTAGTAAATTTATTTAAATAAATTAGCTTACAAATTATTTAGAGAGAGTTTTGTTACTAAATAAATCCAATACAAATCAATACAATTTGAAATGTGAGTCGTTTATTTGTATATGACGTTTGTGATTTTAATTGAATGTATTATATATATATATATATATATATATATTTGCGTGGTTTTCTAATTATTTGTATTTTGAACAAGGGTAAAGGGTCAAATTGCCCCTAAACTATTCGGAAAGGTCTAGATATACCCTCCGTTTAAAGTTTGGCTCACTCATGCCCTCGCCATCCAACTTTTCGTCTAAATCTGCCCTTATGGGCGTTAGTTGGTCTGCTGGACATATCCAACTCATTTTTCATTTCTTTAAATGTCACATGGAATTGCCATGCCATTTTGACTTTACCACATGACATTTATATGAAAAATGGAAAGGGATCAATTATGCCCCTAAAAAAATTCAAACCCATAAACACCTAATCCGACCCATAAATCAACCCCCCTTTTAAATAAACTACCCGACTTGTTTTCAACAATTTTGTTTAAATTTTTGTTTTTTTGATAAATCTCGAAAATTAGTAATTGATTAATAAAAAATAGGAAAAATATGAAAAAAATA